CCCCGCCCGGCCCCTCCTCAGTCCCTGGAAAGGCCCCGTCCCACAGTCGGCTTATTGCTGGCTCCAGCGAGGCCAGGGAGGCGCCGGCTGCCCTCGTGGGGGTGGTCAGTCCATCTCGGCAGCCCCCGGAGGGGCGGTTGGCGCTTCCGGAACAGCTGGCATCACAGGCAGATATGGCAATGACGAAGAACATCCGAAAGGGACAAGCGCACTTTTGGACCAACGAGGAGGAGGAGGAGGAGGAGGAGGAGGAGGAGGAGGAGGAAGAGCCGCCGCCACCACCACCACCACCATGAGGTTTCCTTCCTTCCCAGAGAAACGCGAAGATGGCTGTTTGGTGCAAGGCTGCAAGATACTGTCGGTGTGAAATGGACTTTCTCACTGCGGAGCGGTGCCCAACCTGCCAAGGCAGCAAGGCCTGGAAGGGCAGTGTGAGCAGCGGGGCTGGCGCTGCAACCCGACGGCCCTTAAAGGCACAAGCCCTGCGGGCGGCGGAGGCCGGGCCCTGCAGCCTCGGGCTCCCCCGGGCCCCCCTCCCGCCCTCCCCTCCCCCTCCTTCTGCTGCCGCTGCTGCCGCCGCTGCTGCATAGGACGCGCACTCACGGCTGCCGTCGCCTTGCTACACCCCGGCTTGCTCCACCCCGAAGGGAAGCTCCGGGTGCCGGTAGCTCAGCAGGACGTCGGTGACACAGGTGGAGGGGTAGCAAGAGGCGTTGAGATGCGGGCTGCCCTCACCCAAGCCGGGCTGCTCCTGGCCCTCCAGCTGCTCCCCACAGCCTGTGGGGGGAGAGGGAAGGGAAGCCCAGGGGTGGCTCAGCTGCCCCCCCCGGCACCTCCAAGGCCGAAGGACGGGGGGGGGGGCTGCCCCCCCGGACCCCCCACCCAGACCCCCCGCCCCCCCCCCCGAGGCCCCCCTCCATGTCCCCCTGCGTGGTGTGCCCGGCACTCACCCCTCCGCTCTCCCTCGGGGAGGGTCTGGCTGAGAACCGCGTCGGCCATCCGGGCGGAACTAAGGGCTTTCCCGGCCATCAGGCTCATGCCCAGCAAAGGGTCCAGTTGCACCTGCAGCAGCCAGCAAAGGGGGCACTGAGAGGCTGGGGGGGGGGCGGAGAAGAGAGGGGAAGCCCTCCAGCCACCACCCCCCACTCAGGGCCCAGGCAAGGGGCCCCCCCAACGCACGTAGGCATCGTCGCTGTTCTGGATGGTGTGGTGCCTCTGCAGGGGCCGGGGCCTGGGGTGCGCCCCAGGGATCCTTCTCGCCGGGTACGCCGTGAGCCCCTCCACCTCGGCCATCTCCACCTGCCCGGGCGAGGCCCTCTCCTGGCCCCCGGTGACCATGGGATCTGCGGGGACAGGCAGGAGGGCCACAGAGGTCAGGAGCTCGGGAGGGCCTCCCAGCCGGCCTGACGTTCGGCCCCTCGAGCCCCGGCTCAGCTGGGGCAGGGGAAAGGCCGCCTCCTGGGCCAGCTCTCCTTCCACGCCTGGCCGCTGTCGGGGCATCTTCCCTTCATCCCAAAGCCCCCTCCCCCCCCGCCGCCCGATGATCCGTCGGGCAGTCTCAGTCTGCCCCACCCCCTCCAGGCTGGCCCTCGCCTGGCCCGACAGAACTCCACAGAACTGCAGCAGCTCCTAGAACGCCCCCCCCCCCCCCCCCCCCCTGGCGCCCGCCCCGCGCCCCCCCCCCCCCCCCCCCCCCGCTGAGCAGTGCTGGGGCCGCCAGGCCCTGAGAGAGGCAGCTGAGAGAGGAGGGGGCTTTCCTGCCCCCCAGCCACCCTGGAGGGGGGCTCGGGCTGGCCTTACCTGAGCAGGGCACTTCGCTCCGACAGAAGGGGGAAACGGCCTGGGGCCGGTACAGGTGGGCTCCGAGCTCTGGCTCGCCCTTGGCCGGCCCAAACAGAGAGTCCGAGTCCCCCATGCTCACGAGGAGCCGCGCCTCAGGGCAGCCTTTGGTCTTGTGGCCTGGGAAAGGGTCCCGGGGCCCCTGGCACAAGCAGTCCGCCTCCTCCTCCTCCTCCTCCTCCTCCATGCTCTCCGAGTGCATCAGGGCTGAAGGCAGGGGGGCGTATCCGCGCGCCGGCCCCGAGACGTGCGAGACGCCGTCCGGCCCCCTGACTTTCAGGAGGGGCTGGGGGCCGGCGTGGGGCTGGAAAGGGTCAGCGTTCTGGTAAGGCAAAGCCAGGGGAGGCCGGTCGGAGAGTTTCTGGGCCAGGCAGGGCAGCCCCTGTCCCGCCTCCCCCTGGCTCATCTGCCGGAAGAGCTCCTGCTGGAACTCCTGCTGCTGCTGCTGCTGCTGCTGCTGCTGCTGGTGCTGGTGCTGGTGGTGCTGGTGGTGCTGCTGCCGCCGCTTGATCAGCTGGGCCACCTCCACCTGGGGCAGCCGCAGGTCCGGGTGGCCGGCCAGCGAGTGGCGGGGGGAAAGCAGGCCCTGCAGGATGGGGGCCACTTGCTGCCGCCGGCTGTAGTCTGGGGGGGTCGGGGAGAGCAGGGCCTGGTGCAGGGCAGAGGCCGCGTAGTGCTGCTGCTGCTGCTGCTGCTGCTGCTGGCTGCTCGGCGGGAAGCCCGGGAACTGCTCCACCAGCGGCACCTTCAGGCCGGGGGCCGCAGGGACGAAGCTGCTCGGAGAGACGCGGGGGGGCTCCGGGAAGAGCTGGGGGTGCAGGTGCGCCTGGGGGTAGCCTGCGGTGGACGGGTACCTGCCAAGAGGGAGGAGGAGGGAGCCCCGGGGGTCCCGGGTCAGGGGGGGCTGCCTGCGGGGAGGCCCGCCTGGATCGTAGCCTGCAGGGCCAAGCCAGGCGTGCCGGCCCTCCCCCGCCCTCGGCCAGCCGGCAGGGCCGTACCTGTGGGAGGACTCGGCACCGTCTGTGCTGAGCTGCTTGGCGAGGGGCCGGTGCCCGTAGGTCAGGGAGGCCATCAGACTGGCACGGTGGTGCATCTGCAGTGGACTAGCGCTGGGGGCCAGGGGCAAGCCCCGCCCGCCCTGCCGAAGGCTGCTGCCCAGGAGGTCGCCAGGCTCCTGCATGGGGAGGGGGACGGGCTGCCCCGGCTGCGGCAGGCCCAGGCAGGGCAAGGCCAGGCTCGGGGGCGGGGAGCGGTTCCCAGGCTGCTGGAAGAGGCTGCCGTGTGGAGGCGGAGGCGACGGCGTCCCCCCCTGGAACGGGCTCTGGGAGGCTGCACCTGCAAAGAGCAGAGCCCTCCTGGCAAGCGGGTCCCGGCCCTCCTCACCTTCCTCCCCGGAGACCCCCGGCCCTCCCTGGGCAGCCGAGGGGCCCCCTGGAGCAAGCCCAAACGCCTACCGTGGGTCTGGAGCAGGCTGCTGCTGACGGGCGGGGGGCTGCTCTCCGTCTGCTTGAAGAGGTGGTTGCTGGGGTGGCTGGGGGGTGGGCTGGAGGGCTGGATCTGTAATCTGCGGGCACAAAGAAAGAATCAGGCGCAGAGTCCCCAGAGGGAGCCGCCCCGTCTCTGGCTGGCAGCCCCGGGACCTTCCGCCCCCCAGCAGAACCGCCTGGAGCTGAGAGCAGGGAAGCCGGGCCCCGCTGGGACCAAAGCCCTGGCCCTCGAGTCCAGCCGCTCCCAGCTGGGCCCCCCAGGAGCACTGAGCCACCCGGCCCCGGAACTTCCACGCAGGGTCCAGCCTGAGGGCCGGCCGGCCTCACACCTGGGCTGCCCAATGCTGATGCTTCAGCGATAAATTCAGGCCCAGGAAATGAAAGGCAGTTTTCTCCCCGCCACGGCTCCAAGCTCCGCCCCGCGTCCCTCGATTGCTGTGCTCAGCAGTTTCCCGGCCATCCTTGCCTCCTGCAGGGGAGCTGGGCCCCAGAACGCCTGAGCCGGGCCTTTCCAGAGGCCTCCCCTGCAGGAGGGGCGGGGAGGAGGGAGCCCAGAAGGCAGGCCGGGCCCAGGCTTGGCTTACCTCTGGAGCTGGTGAGTGAGCAGAGCCGGCTGGTTCTCACTTGCCGCTTGCAGCGGGGTGGAAGGTTGTGGCGGACGGATGCAGTCCTGTGCCGGGGCGGAGGAGGAAGGAGAGAGGGGCGTGCGGTCAGCAATGGGCGAAAGGAGTGCTGCCCCTGCATCCAGCTCCTGCCCTGCTGGGATTCAGCTGGGACGCCCGCAGGGCAGAGGGGGGGCGGAGGAGGTTCTGCCCCCCCCCCCACCTGGATCTGCTGCTGGAGGATCTGGTGGTGCTGCTCCTGCTGGTACAAGATGTGCTGCTGCTGCGTCTTCTCCCGCGTCCGCTCGTCCAGGTGGCCCCCGTACATCTTCTGCAGCTGCTCACACTCCTGAAAGAAGCCCCCCCCCGCCCCCCCGGAGGCTCAGCCAAGGCGGAAGGGCTGCAGCAGGCCGGGCCTTGGCGGGGGGGGGGGGGGGGGGGGCGCGGCGGGGGGGACCCACCAGCACTGCGCAGAAGGGCAGGCCGGAGGCAGCGCCCTCTTCCAGAGAAGCTGCCCCACTCTGCCCGCAGAGCCTCGCCTCAAGTGGGCATCCCTGCCACCCTTGCTCCCCCGCAAGCACCCTGGGAGCTGCCCGCCCGAGTGGGGGCCCACGGAAGCGTCCGGCAGCTTCCCTGGCCGAGGGCGGCCAGAGAGCTCCCCCAGCAGCCGGTGCCTGGCCCAGCAATGACCGGGTGCACCAAGGGGCCCTGAACCGAAAGCTGGCAGCTCCGCAGGGGCAAAGGAGCGCTCTGTTCCCAAAATCCGGGCCGCCCCCCACCCCCCACCCTGCAGGCCAACCTCCCACCCGGCCGCCCCGGCTGGGCCCGCTACCTGCTGGAGCTGCTTGATGCTGCTGTGGTTGCCCATCTTCTCCAGCTGCGCCTTGAAGGCCTGGATGCTGGCCGCCCCGTCCGAGAAACGGCGCACTGGGGAGAAGCGCTCCGTGGGGAGGTGCAGCGTGTTCGAGTCCTTGTAGACGTAGCTGGGGACACACAGAGGGGGGCGGGGAGGCTAGGAGGAGCAGCTTGACCCCAGGGCCGTTGGCCCAAAATCCAGCCTGCCCCCCTCCACTGCCGCCCCCAACAGAACAGGAGCCCCCCCTTGGGACAGAGGGGTCCAGTCGCTGGCTGCCAGCCAAACCTACCTGACTCGTCTCTGATTGGCCAGAGCAACTCATGGCAAGGAGAAACAGCCCCCCCTCCAGACTCCAAAGCCATGTGCGGGTAGGGGGGTGCAGTGCTCTGGCTTCACAGCCTTTCTGGCCGCCTCCTGAACTCCCAAGGACCCCCTGAGCAGCCACAGAGGAGGGGAGGAGCTGCCCCCGCCCCTCTCCAAGACCGGCCAAGGGCCCCCGGGGGCTTCTTCCTCCCAGGAGCCCAGAAAGGCTGCAGTGGATTTAACGCCCGTCTGAAGCCCAAGAGGAGCCTGATCCCCGTTCACATTTTGCAAGGGGCCGAGGCGGATGCCCAGGTCCACGCAGGGGGGAGAACGGCCTGGACCAGCTCCTCTCCAGAGGGGTCGGGGCTCCAGGCAAGTGGATCCTGTCCACTGGGGCTGATGGGCCTGCTTAGCCAGCAGGGCCCAGGGTTTCTCAGCGCCCAGCTAAGACCCCCCCCCCAAAAGGCCTGGAGAGGACGGGAGGGAGGGAGGGGGGGAGGGGCCGGGGCTTCCGCTGGCAGGGCCCGCATGAGGGCAGCTGAAGGGAGGAGCTTCAAGGGGAGAGCCTGTTCCTGGGCAGGAAGCAGGCCGAGGAAGGGAGGCCAGCCTGCCCCGCTCTTCCCCCAGCCTTCGGGCTTTGCCCCTTGGCCCAACCCAGCCCTGGCCTCTCGCTCCTTGGCAACAGGGCCCTGCCCACCCTGTCTGGGTCCCCACGGGCCCCGTGGCCTAAGCCTCCCTCTTCAGGAGGGGTTTCCTCTGGCGGCCCCTGGGTGGCGGGAGGGGCCCTCCTCCCAGGACTCCTCTGGGATAGCGGCGCTTAGCCGGGGCTTTGGCCTCCTTGTCTGGCTGGCTCTCCCGCCTTGGGCCCACTGCCAATGCTGCAGGGGTCCGGGTGAGGGGCGGCCATGGATCAGGCCTGTGATCCGAAGTGACGGGGAGGGAGAGGCAGACCCCACCCAAGACCTCCATTCCACGGGTGGGCATCTCCCCTCCTGTCAAAGCCACGAAGGCAGGGCTGCCTGGCCCAGGGCTTCAGGGAGGCCCCTCAGACGCCTGGACCTTCCCCGGCCCAGACCCAGGGCACTGCAGGGAAGGGGGAGGAAGGGGCCGGCCTCGTCCCCCCTTTGCCTCTCCCGAAGAACAAGGCTTGGCTCCACAGGAGGGGCCTCTGGGGCCACCCCCTCCCTCCCCCCAAGTCGTCTGCCAGGGCCTGGGAGCCCTGTGTGCCAACGCCCCCGGGCAGCTCCTCTCCCCAGTGCCTGCCTGCTCAGGCGGTGGTCCTGGTCCTCCCTGGCTTCCTGGGGGCCAGCAGAGCAGAGGGAGGGACGAGGGCGGCTCAGCTGAGTCCCAGAAGGGGAGGACTCTTATCTCTGCCCTTTGGCTCGGCTTCCAGCGTGGCAGCTGTGTGGCCCCAGCCGGCTCAGAGTCCACCTGCTTTCCGGTGACATCACTCTCTGCCCGGGGAGACCTCCAGCTCCCCTCGAGACACGGGGGGCAGGAAGGGGGCTTGCGGGGGCAAGCCAAGAGGAGTGGGAGAGAGGGGGCAGAGCCCCTCCTGCTGGCCTTCCCAGGGAGCGAAGGGACTTCTGCACCCGCCCATGCGGAGGGGTCATTTCCCTGTGACCAATGGTCAGGGCTGCTCCCTCTGCCCCCCCCTCCGAACGGCAGGCCAAGAGGCCACTCGCGCGCAAATGAGGGAGTTGTTGACACGCTCGAGGTTCAGAGGTCGCTCTCCGAGAGGCAGCCCCTGTGTCAGCACAAACAGGAGGCGGCTGCCTGCTCCGGCTGCCGCCTCCCCCGTCCTGCTCGCAAGTCAGAGGCTGTCAAGCTGCTGTTGCTGTTGCTGAGGCTGCGGCTTTCCAACTCCACCCTGCGTCCACCAAGGCCCGGAGGGTTGGCAGGCGGCCACCCAGTTAGCCAGCTGCCCACCAAGCTGCCTGGGGGGGGGGGGGGGGCAACAAAGCCCCCACCTCTGCTATGCTGAGGGGCTCAGCACGGACCCCCGCCCTGCGAGGCCCGAGGGGGGCAGGGAACTCGAGGGGCCACTGACTTGAGCCACAGGCACCTGGGCAAACTCGAGAGAGGGGCAGCTTTCCAAGCATCTGGCGCCGCTACTCACCGGTGCTGGTCAGGCGCCAGGTGTGGGGCCCGGGAGCGGAAGGGCTGCTGTCCGAGCTGCCTCTGCAATTCGGGCGGGATTTCCGCCGTGGGGTTGGTCATGGCCAGGGTGTGCCGCTTGGACCTATTGGCCAAGTATCTGCAAGGAGCAGGAGCAGAGGAGATGAGTGGAAGGGCAGCGCCCGGGACCTCCGGAAGGCCGGTGGGCGGCAGCGGCAGCAGCGGCAGCAGCAGCAGCAGAGGGGGGGGGGCAGCCTCTTGCCCACCTCTCTAGAGCCTGGTATGAGGGAGGGGGCCACAGGCAGCGAGGCAGCGAAAGAGAGAGCCAGAGGTCGGCCATTTCTGGCTCAGCCCCACTCCGGAGAAAGCAGGAGGGCCAGAGAATTCAGCCAAGCGGGTGGAGTTGCAAGCAGGCTCACCCAGGAGGAAAGACGGGCAAGGGGGGCTTTTTCAGCACCCGCGCTGGGCCCCCCAAGGAAGGGCGAGCCTGGCAGGAGAACCCCTCTAACGGGGGGGGGGGGGTCAAGGGCTGATGGGCCCCAAAGGGTCAGAGGGGTCCAGCCTTTCCGCCTGGCAGAAGGACGCCATCAAGGCAGCCGGTCCGGTGCTGAGCTGGACGGGACCAATGGAAACCTGGCGCCTTTGAGCGCCTGGCCCCACTCCTAAGGCTGCAGGTGGGCTGGGCTGAAAGGAGGCTGCTGGCCCGCAATGGCCAGGCTTCCCCAGAGCTCACCGGGATGCCCACCCCTGGCCCGTAAGGAAAGCAGGAAGAGGACGCATGGCTGGCTGCTTAGGGACAAAGGAAGGGCCCCCAGGCAAGGCGGCTGTGAGGAGCGCAGCAACAGTGACCACACGGCCATGACACACCTGCCCCACCCCCACCCCCAGGGGGTCCAGGAAGAAGCGGGAGAGTTTGCAGGGCCTCCGTGGCCCCCACGCAGGCCAGCCCTGCCCCAGCCCTGCTGGCGGTGGAGAGGGCCATTTTCTGGCCCACCGCTCGCTCTGCCCTGAGCCCCTGGGGAGCAGCCTTGCCCAACACCAACAGGAGAGCCCACCCTCTCTAGGCCCTCAGGTTCGGGGGGGGGCGGAAGGGCCCCCTCCAGAGCAGCCACCTGGCCTGGGAGGATCATTGACAGGAAGGCCCAGAAGGGAGGGAGGGAGGGAAGGCGCACTGCTCAGGGCAGAGAAGTGGGGAAGGGCCACGTAGGACGGGGCCCACCAGCATGTTCGGCCAGCAGGAGGCGCCTTCCCAGGATGCCACAGGAGCCACCCCAAATCCTCACTTCTTAGCTCAAAATTGCCTGGGCCTTGCAAGTTCTCGTGGGAGACTTTAAAAATGGACCTGGGTGGAGCCCTGCGGGGGCGAGGGGGGGACGTGCCAGCCTCCCTTCTGCGAAAGCCTTGGAAGGAAGGCCTCCAGGCTGCCTCCACTCTTCCAGGGCAAGAGGTGAGAGCCCATCCTTCTCTGCGCTCCCCTGGGCCGCGGCGTCCACTCTGGTGGCCCCACTCTGGGCTCAGGCCTCCCGGAAGGGCCGTCCCCTCCTCTACTCGCCAGGCAGCCTCTGGCGCAGCCCGGCTTCCCCTTCCTGTCCTCTGCTCCCACGGGGGAAGAGCAGCCTCGCTTCCCAAGGAGCCGCTGCCCTCCCTGAGCCTGGGCCAAGGGGCCTGGGAGTCAGGCCGGCCGGGTGCCCCACCGCTCTTACTGCAGGAGAGGCTCAGCAGGAGGTGCCGCGGGGCTGCCATCCAACCGATACCCAATCTTGTAGCACCGGAAGGACTTCCCAAGGACTTGGGGGTGGGGGGGGCTCTCAAATGCCTTTAAGAGGCAGCCAGGCTGGGGGTGGGGTGGGGGGGAGTTATTACCTATCATTGGATTTCTACGGCTGCTCATCTCAACCAGTGACTCTCGTTTTTACCACCCAGCCAAATACCCCGACCTCTGGGCATCGGCAGCCAAGGCCACTGCCGGCCTTTCCCAGCACAAAAGCCCCAAGACGGGTGTTGGGAGGAAAGACAAAGTGAGGGGTGTGTGTGTGTGTGTGTGTATGTGTGTGTGTGTGTGTGTGTGTGTGTGTGTGTGAGAGAGAGAGAGAGAGAGAGAGAGAGAGAGATAGAGAGAGAACCCCTCAGCTCCCAGGGAAGCAAAAGCAAGCGGAAGCCCCCTTCCCGGGAGGCAGCGGGAGCGTTACCTCTGCACGGCTTCCTGGTCCGGCTCCCCGTCCGAGCTCTCCTCGTCCACGGGGGTCACAGCAGGCACTGCCTGAAGGGAGACAAGAGGACTGGCTGCACTTGGCCAACAGCAACGGTCCCCCAGGAGGAGGGGGAGGAAACGGCTCATCCCGCAAGGGAGCCCCTCCACCAGGGGCCCAGGAAACGGGACGGAGGGGGGCAGTTTGGGAAGCCAATTCCGAGGCCTCCCCCGCCCGGGACAGGGGCCTCCGCCACAGCCACCCACGGAGAGGCCTCCCGAGGAAAACCAGGGCTGCTTACGGGTGTCATGGTGACGAGGGGAGATGGGCCTCGGGGACGCTTCAGGAGCTGCTGGGCGTGCAGCTGGATGTTGGCTCCCCCGTCGGAGGCCCTGCGGCCCAGCGGCCCCATCCCGTTGAGCAGCTGCAGCGTTGGCGGCTGCAGCAGAGACTGCTCCTGCAACGAAGCTTTCTCTCACGGCCACCCGCTGCTTGGCCGCCCCCCCCGCCCCGCCCCAGCAGCCGCCTGCCAGGCTGAGGCGCGCAGGGGAAGGGAAGGGTACCTTGTACTCCAACTGGCCGGTCGGCTGCAGGTGCTGCATGGGGAGCAGGTTGGCTGCCACGCTCACATTGGGGGCCACCTGCAGGAAGGGGCCCTGGGGGGCGATTCGCGGGAAGCCCGGGAGCAGCTTCTGCAGGTCCTCCATCACCTCCGTGCTGCCCAAAGGAAGAGACCAGCGCTTGGACTCCCGGAGCTGCCTGGGGCCCCCACTGCCTTCTTGGCCAAAGTGCTGGGGGAGGGGCGGAGGAGCAACCCCTCCAGTAGAAACACCCCCCTCCCCTGTTACTCCAACGGAGCAACGCTCACCGAGGATCAGCCACCCCGACAGTGTGCCTGCGCATGGAGAGGTAGCGGACCAGGGCTTCGGGCGAGGGCTCCTCTCCTTCGTCGCTGTCCAGGTTCATGGTGCCATCCGCCTGGAAGAGCAAGGCCCCGGAAGGAGGAATGCCCCAGGCTCCGGAAGCGGGAGGGGAGGCCCCAGGAGGCAGCCCTGGGAGGAAGGGCCCTTACCTCCACTATCTGGTTGTCGGGGTTGATGAGCTGCACTTGGGGGACGCTGAGGCTCACTGGGTTGCCAGCAGGTTCCGTCTGTAAAGCAGAGCCACCCGCCGAGCACTGAACGCTGCCCTGGGCTGGGCCCGGCCCTCCCGCTCTGCCACCAAGGCCCAGCATCCTCCCCCCTCCCCCCTCCAGGCCCTCTACCAGCCCCGAGGGGTGGGGTGGGGGGGCCGGGAAGCCTCAGCCTGGCCTGGAAGCCACCCAGGGGAGCCACCCAGGGAAGGGCCTTCTGAGAGCTCCAGTTAGGGGCTGCCTCTTGGGTGGGGGAGGCGGGTGGGGAGCAGCCCCTCCAGCTGGGGAGGAAAGGAATCCCCCCAGGGGACCCTGCAGGAGGCCCGGCTTGCCTTCCCTCGGCTGGGCCGCACAGGAGCCCTGGCCAGAGCTTGGCTGGGCCAAGGGCAGCAGGCGCCCTGAGGAGCCCAGCCACAGCTGTCCCGTCCGCCTGACAGCCAGGCCCAGAGAGCCGTGCCCAGTTCACCGGAAGCGCCTGGGCAAAAGCCCCAGGGGGGCTGTGAGGCAGGGACGGCCCCCCCCTCTGGGTCCTACGCTGGCTGGCTGGCTGGCTGCCCAGCAGCAGAGCCACCGCTGCCCCAAGACTGACCTGGAGACTGGCAGGTGCCGGAAAGGCCAGAGTCCGGGGCAGGCTGGGCAGGGCTGACGTGCGCAGGGTTTTATGCCTCTTCTGGCGATCGCAGAGCAGGCTGTAGATTGCACTGTAGTGGTCGTAGGCCTCGGTCCTCAGTGACTGGGGGGCACAAGAGCCACACGTCACTCTTCCCCACCCACACAGGGTGCCCAGGGGTCCCCGAAGGGCCAGGGGCCTTGGTACCTGCAGGATGCGCTCCTTGTCCAGCCCCATCTCCGCCATGGCCAGCAGCACCTCCTCGTTCAGGGGCTCCAGCTGCCTCTCGGCTTTCAGCTGCTGACATTCTGCTATCAACTGGGAAGCGGAGAACTTGTTCAGGGCTGCGTGCTCCCTCCCCAAGAAAAAGGACAGGGGCTCAAAGGGGGGGGGGGTTGCTGCCTATGAGCTGGCTGAGCAGGGCATCATCCCCACCCCCCACACACACCCCAGAGCTGAGAGAGCAGGGCTGGCGGGGAACCAGCCCCTCCCTCCCTCCCTCCCTTTGTGGGGAGGCTCTGGAACTGCCTCCGCTCCCCGGCCGGCCCCCCCTTGAGCTGCCCTGCTGCCCCACAGGACCCTCTGCCGGCGGCCAGGGAAAGCCGCGCCTGGACTCACTGTGCCAAAGTCGGGGTCGGCCTCCCCCAGCTTCATCCACTTGTGCTTGCAGATCTGCTCCATGGAGAGCCGCTTGCTCGGCTCCAGCACCAGCATGTGGCGGATCAAGTGTTCACACTCTGCAAGAGAGCGGCCGGGATGAGGACCTGCGCCCCGGGGCCCCGCCTTTGCCCTTGCAAATCTGTGGCTTGATGCGGTCCTCGGGGCCCGGGCTGGTCCCACCAGGACCCCACGGTCCCAAGAAAGGGGTCCAATGCCCTGCCGCCAGGGGCTCTTTGGATCCTGTGTGCCTGGCCCAAGGGGGGGGCGGTGGGGGGGCGCAAGCTTTCCGGGGCTCTGCTTCTCCATCCAACGGACACCAGGACGCAGAAGCCGGTTCGTCCGGTGCTTGTCCGCGCTCCACCCCGCCAAACACCCTGCTAGGTGGGCCCAGCCCCAGCCGGCATCCAGCCCTGCTCCGTACCTGTTGACATGAAGAATGGGATGCGAAACTTCCCGCTCAGCACCCTCGCCCGCAGGTTCTGCAGCGTGCTGCCATCGAAGGGCAGGGCCCCGCACACCAGCACATAGAGCACCACCCCGAGGCTCTGCAAAAGAAGAGGCCCCAGTCCCCTCTGTAGGGCAGCGGGGAGGAGGCCCCCGCCCCCAAGGCCAAGATTCCCGCTCTGAAGGCTGGCTTCTGGAACCCAGCGAGGCCCCTTCGGCCACTCCGAGGCCTCTGCCACTTACCCAGATGTCCACTTTCGGCCCGTCATACTCCTTCCCTTCGAAAAGTTCAGGGGCCGCGTAAGGGGGACTTCCACACCAGGTCTTCAGTAGCTGACCAGGAGTGAAGATGTTACTGAATCCAAAATCTGGAAGAGAAGGGAGGGAGGGAGGGAGGGAGGGAGGGAGGGAGGGAGGGAAGGAAGGAAGGAAGGAAGGAAGGAAGGAAAGGCCGGTGATTCCCCACCAAACGGCCTGTTTCGCCTATTGTCCCGCACAACAGCCCAAGACCAGGGGGGCGTCCAGGGGAGAGCGGCACGCAGAGCCGCACCTGCGTGGCCGCTGCTTCCCACACAGCTCTCCAGCACGGCCCTTGAGGCCCCTCCCCTGACAGGAGCTGGGGATCCCTTGCGCTGAATCCAACTGGCCAGTGGAGCCGCTTAGATCTCTTCTCCTCCTGCTCCAGCCAGGCTAAGTAACTAGGTGCCATCCGGAAGTGCAGCCATTCCATGCAAAGCCCCCCTCGCCTCCTCTGTGGTGAGGCCTGTGCACTCACCCCCCTTCTCCTCCTCTGAACTTTCTTAGCCTGCCGGTCCACAAAGGGGCCGCCTGTTTTGCCAGGAACTCTTTTGAAAGTCGGAGTTACAATGGATCACCTGCTATTTTGATGTTCAGATTTGCATCCAGAAGCAAATTCTCAGCCTTCAGGTCTCTGTGGACAATATGGTGACAGTGGCAGAAGTGCACAGCTGCTACTATCTGCTTAAACTTCTTCCGAGCCTCCTTTTCGGCCATTCGTCCGTGAGCCACCAGGTGATCTGAAGGAGACGCGGGGGGGATGGAGCCGGTTAGACGGCTATTCTGCTTCCCAGGTGGTTTCTAGTGCTCTGGGAAACTCAGCAGGGCGGCCCAGTGGGTCTGGCTGGGTTGACCAGGGAAAACTCTAGCCCCGTTGGCAGCTGACCTGCCCCGAAGGCCAACCTCCTCCGCAGGCTGTCCCTTCTCCCAAGCCTTCACAGGTTGAGTCCTCTGCTATGCCCAGAGCCCCCCTCAGAATGATCCCCTCTGGCTTTTCTTTTATCCAGGTGCACCAGAGCCCCCCATCTTCTTTCCAGGGCAATTCTGCGGCCATGGAAACTTCCAAAGAGCATCAGCCGAAAAGGAAGCAAAAGGGCTGGCAGCTATTTTATTTACTGGAGTCGACCAAAGATATTTTGGCTGAATACGGCAAACAATGTTCTTACCAAAGATCTCCCCTCCGCTTGCATACTCCGTTACCAGATAAATCATTCGCTCCGTCTCCATGACCTGAACAAGGACAGAAAAGCCACTGATACGGACAGGCTGAGGACAGAACAGCCTCTGCTAACCTGGTTTCTTCTCGGGGTGTGTGTGTGTCTGTCTGTCTGTCTGTCCTCTCAGAAGGATTCCCCATGGGAGAGGCACCCAAGGCTCCACAGAAGGCTCCACAGTTACCTTTTATGGCATTCACCAGGAGTGTTTTACTCTGGAATCACTGGATCCATTGGAATCAGATGCCTATTGATTGTGGGGGCCAAAAGGCCCAGGAAGACTTGCAGATTCCAAGAGCCCCCCTTTCCCCCCCCCATGACACGCAGAGGTCCCCTCTGGATCAAAAGGAGCCCGAAGGTTGGAGGCACCTCCTACCGCCGCCCCCCCCCCAAGTCTTTACCAACGCGGTGCCTGTCCCCGTCTCAGTTACTCAGCCGGCAGACCTGATACAATCTGATGATATGCGGGTGGCACAGCATCTTCATAATCTGCACTTCCCGAAAGATCTTCTTGAGGTTCTCCTCATCCAGCTGAGTCTTGTCAATGATCTTTATTGCCACCTGAAAGGGCAAAAACGAGAGCAGTTATTAGGCCCAGAATGGGCAGGCGGAGCGGAATTGCTGTTCCGGGCCGCCTGAGTCATTCTGAGAGCATAAAGGGAGCAGACAGCAAGAAAAACGACCGTCCATTGAACTGCATGATTTATTTCTAACTCTGAATAACTTGTCAAGGCGGGGCCAAAAACCCCGATCGGTATGACAGCAACTTTCTATAAACTGTCCTCTGAATGGTGGCTTTCCAGGGATTTACTCATTTTAAGGAAGGTTGTACAAATTGGTTGCATTCCTCCATAAAGCCCAGCATTCTGAACTAGACAAAGTGGCCCAATTCAGATACTAATTTAAACCCCAAACAAGAAAACCACCTTATGTGTGAAAACTAATGCAGGAAGCTGGGGGGGGGGGGGGGGGTCCTGTGGCAATTAACCTTCCTCTTTTGATTGAGAATAGCAAATAGACCCCGTAAGTATCTCGGAAACTCTTGAAGGCATTGTTTACACAACGGAAGGTCACACCGATCATCAAATGAAGATTTTCTCTGCTCAAGCGCATCGTTTTTAATCCAAAAGGTTCAGAAAGCAAGACTGACCTAGCCAAGAGTTCCACCTGGTGGAGCTACTTTCAACTGCAAAAAAATCCATGCAGCAACCAGCCGTTTAGAAACGGGAGGCCCGAAGGAGGCACTATGGGTCAGCTGAAGAGCTCGAACAAGGCCGGGCCTCCTTCCTGCCTCTGGTGTCAACGGACAAGCCTTGCCCCCCCCGCCCCCCCCTTCCAAGGGTGGGCTCTGCAGAACAGCCTGCAGAGCCTGCAGGAGGGGGCTTGCCAAGGGCTTCCTCTCAGCCCAGCCGACCTCACAAGGGAAGAGTAAGGACAAGGGGCATTGTCCTGAGCTCCTGGAGGAGAGCTGAGATCCAGCGTAACATGAAAAGAGTAAATGAATTCTCAAAAGGCCCCTGGATCTAAGTTCCTGCAAATCCGAGTTCTGCAGCCCCCCTCCTTCCTCGTCCAGCCCAGCAACGACTACTCCGCGGGCAGCTGTCGGATGGGAGTCCCTGAGAGGAACCACTGTGAATGACGCTGTGGGCTGCTCTCCACACTGCTCGGTCTCCGTTGCTGCTTTCTCCCCGTGGGATCTGTTCCACCCTGTCCCAGCAGATCCTTGCTGAGAAGCCACCTCCTTTCCTCTCACCAGGGCGACCGCAATTCCACATGCAACCCAAACCGGTGCCACTTTCCTGGTGGGAGCAAATACTGGGAGCAAGCAGGACGGGAACTGCTTTATCCTTCAGGCAGCAAAATGTTTTACCGCCATCTTTCTGCCTCCTTGGGCCCCCTTCAGCGGCTGTCCCGGACCGGCAGGTAACCCCTCTGGCCTCCCTGCTCAGGGCTTTCATGGTTCCAGGGCCCTTTCCCTCCCAACGGGCTGCTGCCCTGCAAACCCTAGAAAGAGGGCAGCTCTGCTCCCTGGAGGGGAAGCAGGAGAAGGGGGAGCAAAGCTGGGGGTAAACTTGCTTTGTGGGGAAACTCTCCCAAGAAGATTCAGCGCACGACACTAAGTCGTCCTGCCGCAAAGACCCCAAAGGTGGAAGGTTTGCACACAGGGGGTGCAGGGACTGGAGCACCTCCAGGAAAGCTCTGGGGCTGAGCAGGTGTGCTTCCACCCCTGAAAGTCTCTTAACAAGCTCTGCTGGTGCTTTAAACAAAGCAAGGAGACCATCCCTGAAGGAGGAGGAGGAGGAGGTGCTCTCAGAAAGCCCTTTTTTATTAAGCGCTTGGGAATCAAGGCCCCTCTAACGCGATTTTGCTTAGTGACCTCTCCGTATCTGATTTACAGCCCGGCTTCTCTCTTGCCCAGACAGCAGAAGAGGAGAAGGAAAGGAAAGGAAATCCTTCAGTCCGACGGTTAGACGCCTCTTGAAACTCTGGCTCCGGGGGTGCCATGGAGGCCCCTTCCCACTGGACTGGCAGCCAGCGCCTAGGCAGGGGCTCCTAGGAGCAATCCGCGATGGCCGATCGTGGGCTGGCATCACAGCGCTGAGGAATCTGCTCTGCTCTCCTCCTCCAGGCTCAGTGCATCCGTTTCTTCCACACAGCAAGAAGGTTCCAGGTTTTTGACACCCTGTTTAATTCAAGCGTATGCCCACTTTTCTGAACCACGTCCACCTTTGCAACGCTGCACCTACGTCACCCGAGCCTCCCCAGAACGGCTGGGAACAGGGCGCCGGAGCCAACGTGGCCCAGCCACCTGCTCCCTGTCTTTACGTGGGCAGCCAATAGGTGGCACCGCTGACACCTCTACAGCAGGCATGTGACCCACTGAGGCCTCCCCGCCTTTCTTCCCTCTCCCAGCCCAGGAAATGAGCAGAGCCAGGACTGCCCTCCCCTTAGCGTCACATCCAAACAGTCCTCTGAAGAACCGCAAACAATCGAGCCCCCTTTGGGTGCCTTTGCTGGGACTGAGCCCGGAGCAGTTGGGGTTCTTCCTGACCTGACTTCTCCAGGATAAACGTAACCAAATCTATGCATTTTACATCATGGGATTTAAATTTAATATCCAGCAATCAATGACAGTCTCGGCCAAATGGCAACAGGCCCATCTCTCTGCCGTGGTCCAATCTCAGCATGCCAGGAAACGGTGCGCTGGGGCATAAAAGGCTCCCAGGGATAATGAGTGGCAATTGGGAGATCTAAGTGTTGGTCTGGGCAGCCCCGCATATTGTGTCCCACACCATACACGGACATACATCACACCTACATACGCACACAGTGTCTCTCTCCCCTGCGAAAAGGTCCCAAGGCCTCGGGGGGGTGGGGGCAGCCCAGCCATTCCGGCCCTTAGAGCCCCCGTAGGGCTTCTCCTCAGAGCTGTGCTAGGAGCCTCAGACATAGACAAGGGGCCGGGGGGGGGGGGCTTTGTCTTGAGTGCTGGACACCCAAAGGGACTGGCCGGGCGGGGCAGAGAGAAGAGAAGGTGGCGCTGAGCACTCCTCCTGCCCTGCCTGGCGCTCACAGAAGGGCCCTGCCGGTGGATGCCTTCCCTGCGTGGCTGCTGCCCCCTGGCTGGTGAGCCCCCTCCTCTCATTCCGAGTGTTGCCCCCTCCCCACCGCCCTTTCTCTCCCTTCCCAGGCAGCACAACCGCTGCTCTTCACGCTGCCTCCTGGTGCCCCCTCTTCTCTTGCAGAAATTTCAACCATCAGGGCATCACAGGGGGGGGGCGGGGGGGGCGGTGAAGCAAACCCCCCTCCCTCCCTCCCTCCTGGAGGGGCACCCTCTGGGTCATCTGCTGAGCCAAGCTGCCTCCCCAAGGTGAAACCCCTGAAGTGGGCAGCCGGGCTCTTCTGCTGGGTGCAGCTGCTCCGGAAGGCTCTCCCTGGAGGGGAGAAGGGTGACTCAAGCCCTTCCCTCCAGGAGATAAAAGCCACCCGGAGAGCAGAGGACGAGCCAACCGAGAGAGTGTTCTGTCCTCCGAGCTCCTTTCCCACACATTTCCCCAAGCATTCCTCGCGGCACGTGGGTGGGGAGACAGAAGCCATCCCCCAGGGATGCAGCCCTGAGCCTCGAAGGAAGGAAGGAAGGAAGGAAGGAAGGAAGGAAGGAAGGAAGGAAGGAAGGAAGGAAGGAAGGAAGGAAGGAAGGAAGCAACCTGCTCCTTCTTCCAAGCGCAGAGAGGCTCAGGCACATGGACCGTCTTACCTACCGACTAGGAAGGCCCAGGGGAATAGGGGGGGGGGGGGGGAACCACTTTTAAGACGCATGATGAAGTGGAACGCATTGTCTCTCTTGACAGTCTGTCAACTCTGGTAAAGTAGGATTAAAATATCCACATCTCATTCATGGCCCTATCGAGGAATTTGTTTCAGTGAACTTATCAGAAAGGCAGAATAAAAGACATAAATGGAGCTTCTTAAAGAGGGGAGGAAAACGGGGAAAGGCACCCTGAAGAGATCCTGGAAAAGATTGTGGATAATTCAGAGAAGCAGCTCTTGGGAACTCAAAAGCTTGGCGGTTATCGGTGTCATGAAAGCTGCAGGAGTTGCCCACTTTGGAGATTAGAGGCAGCAATGACTGAACAGGGCTGGGATGGGAGAGAGAGAGAGGCAGCATTGAATCACTTGTGAGGAAACGTTTTCCACAAAAATCAAGTGAGCGTTTATGACACAACTGCCAAAACAAAGCCAAACTAAAATCTAACCACGTTCAACTGTGCAAAGCTGCCAAACCTCCAGTGATCCAAGAATGTCATAAACGTAAAGTGCACTCGTTAAACAGGCTATGAAGCCACCGAGTAGCCTCTGCACTTTCCTCTGAAACAGGAGCAATCTTGGTGCCAAGCAGGACAGCCCGTCTGCCAGCCGCGGGATAGCCCGTCTCTCCATGAACGTGGCTCTTAGATCACTTGGCAAGAGGTGCCAACGGAGCCCAGGGCAGCTGCTCTGCACCGGCACAGCGTCAATGAGGAGCCAAAATGCCACACGAAGTTGCTTAGCAGCCAGAAGTCCCAGCTTGCCAGAGCAGCAGCTCGGCCTCAAGGGCCCCGCATCCAAAAGCCGGCCAGGACTCCCAAATGGTCCTGCTGACCTGAACCCAGGGCCCAGGTTCCTTCCCCCAGGCCGGGCTCCTGGGCCCAAAGGGCAGCGGGTGACAAAGCGAGTGGCCCATGCCTGGGGTCACCCTAGGTATAGCCCGGGAAGAGAACTCGAGAAGATGGAAGGATCAGCAGCCTCGGATCAATCTGGGGCTAATCCTCGGAGACGGGCGTGTTACGTACGAAGTGGTGTCAATCCGGATTTGCCAGGAGGAGGAGGACTGACAAACCGCTGATGTCACTGAAGGTCTCCTTGGGGCCTCCTCTGGGTTCTGCTAGGCTAGGCCAACATGGACTCAAACCTCTTTGGGCAATCCCGTAAACCAGGCCAGTTTGTCCAGCCCTATGCTCCCCACCCCCAACCCCAGATGACCCCCTTGCCAGTCCCAAAGGAGGCTGCCTGGGGGCCCA